GATCTTGAGAGAGGCAGATTGGCAGCATAGTCCACCATGCAGGGTTTCTGTAGGCCACAAAAAACCTCACTGGCTTGAGTTCCTTGGAAGAAGTGGCAAGGTATACAAATATAAAATGAAAATAATGAATTTCCGCTAACAATGACATATGACCATGTGAAGATGGATGTGCGTCGTCATTCTCTCCAGGCATCCTGAGTTTCCTTGCTTTGTGATTTGTTAAAGAGATCAGATTCTGGACATGTTGAAAACTCAGAATTTTGTGCATGGCATGTATGTACCAGATAGGTGCCCTCATGTTGTCAGAGGGCTTTTTGACTGTGGCACTCCTTTAAAAAAAAAGTGTACTGCCCTTAATCTGAAGATCACAGGCATTTCACAACATAAAAATATAAAATGAGGGCACAAAATATATAATAAAACAAAGGCAAACCAATAACCCCTCACCCACAACCACGTTTCAGAGTCTATAGAATGTTATTCAGCCAAAGGCCAGGTTGAAGAGAAAACTGGTGCCTAAAGAAATGCGATAAAGGCGTCTGGTAAACTTCCCTGGGGAAAGCATTCCACAAACGGGGAGCCACCACAGAAAAGGCCTGTCCTTGTGCTGCCACCCTCCAGAACTCTCACAGAGGAGGCACACAAAGAAGAGCCTCAGAAGATGATTGCAGGGTCCGGGTCAGTTCATATGGAAAGAGGCGGTCCTTGAGGTATTGCAATTCTGAGCCATTTAAGGCTTTATAGGTCAAAACCAGCAATTTGTGAAGGTACATTCTTTCACCTTTGGTGGACGTGCCCAAGGATTAAGGCTTTCTGGGAGACGATATATAATGAATTGAAAAAGGTATTTAAATATACCTTCTTGAAGAAACCAGAGGCCTTTCTCCTGGGCATAGTCGGCCAATCGGTGTTAAAGAAGGATAGAACTTTCTTTATGTACGCTACAACAGCAGCAAGAATACTTATTGCAAAGTATTGGAAGACACAAGATTTACCCACCCTGGAAGAGTGGCAGATGAAGGTGATGGACTACATGGAACTGGCGGAAATGACTGGCAGAATCCGAGACCAGGGAGAAGAGTCAGTGGAAGAAGACTGGAAGAAATTTAAAGACTATTTACAGAAATATTGTAAAATTAATGAATGTTAGAATGATGTTGGATTGAAATTAAGTGGTTTCTAGCTGTAATGGTATAAAAGAATATGAAAAAATGGTTTTTTATAAGTAAAAATTTAATGTTATAATAACTTAAGATTAAAGATCTGGGTAGAATAAAGAGGGAAAGAAACTGCTAAGTTAATAAATTGAACTGGAATACAAAAAAGGGAGGTACGAGGAGTTCCAGGAAACAAGTTAATGAAAAATAATGTGATGAAAAGATTGATTGTTTTTAACTACTTTTATTTTGTATTTTTTCTTTTTCTATTTTGTAATGTAAAAACCCTAATAAAATTTTTATAAAAAAACAACAACCAGCAATTTGAATTGGGCACAGAAACTACTTGGAAGCCAGTGCAGCCGAGGCAGGATGGCATTATATGTTCAACACATATTGCCCCGACGAACAGGCTGGCTGTCAAATTCTGCACCAGCTGAACTGTCTTTAGGGGCAGCCCCATGTACAGTGGACGCTCGGGTTGCGAACATGATCCGTGCGGGATGCACGTTCGCAACCCGCAGCGTCCGCAACCCACTGTGGCGCGTCTATGCATGCACGGGTTGCGATTCGGCGCTTCTGCGCATGCGCAAAGCGTGATTTAGTGCTTCTGCGTATGCGCGACTGCCAAAACCTGGAAGTAACCCGTTCCAGTACTTCCGGGTTTCGGCGGTCCACAACCCGAAAAAACACAACCAGAAGCATCTGTAACCCGAGGTATGACTGTAATAACACATTGCAGTAATCTAACCTAGAGATTGCCAGAGCATAGACGACAGAAGTGAGGCTATTCCGGTCCAGATAGGGGTGCAGCTGGGTCATCAGTCAAAGCTGAAGGAAGGTTCTTTGCACCACTAAGGCTACCTGAGCCTTAAGCCAACAGCAAAGGATTCAGGAGTGACCCCCAAGCTACATACCTGCTCCTTCAGAGGGAGTGTAACCCAACAAGAGAAGGCAACCTCCCAGCCATCTGGTCTAGGGAACTGCCCACTAACAAGTGCCTCAGTCTTAACCTGGATTGAGATTCAGTTTGTTGGCTCTCATCTAATCCATTACAGTTAAATTGATGGAATATGCTGAAATGGCAAAATTGACGATGGAAACTGAGAGGAAGAGATGACAATGAATTCAAGTAAGAATGGAAGATGTTTATTGGATATATACAGAAGTAATGTACAGTGGTATCTCTGGATGCGAACGGGAGCCGTTCCGGAGCCCCGTTCGCATCCTGAAGCGAACGGAAGACATGACTGCGTGGGTCACGTTTCGCCGCTTCCGCACATGCGAGTGACGTCATTTTGAGCATCTCCGCATGTGCGAGCAGCAAAACCCAGAAGTAGCACGCTCCGTTACTTCCGGGTCACCGCAGAGCGCAACCCGAAAATATTTAAGCTGAAGCGTATTCATCCCGAGGTATGACTGTACACGGCTTAATACATTAGTAGGGTTTTAAGATCACTTGTAGTTTTATCATGAATGAATAGTGGGTGATTTAAATATGATATAAATATAACAACGGACATGCAGTAAGTTGATAAACAGTAGAACCAAGGAAGGGTTTAGAGGGAAGACAAGGGATTCTAGGAATCCCACAAGTGTATTATTATTATTATTTTTAAGAAATATTTTTGTGAATGTATTTTTTTGTTTCTTTGTGTTTTTTATTATCTTTGGAAAATCAATAAAATGTGTTAAAACAACAACAACCCATTACAGAGGCAAGACACTGTGTCCATCACATCGCCTGAACACTCTGCTTCTGGAGTTTTCTTGCCCAGCGCATGTTATTTCCCCAGAATTTTAACCTTTGAGTATGTAATACACACAAGCACACAATTTGTGTGCCGTGTTCCTAATGGAAGGAAAAGGATCCCACACAGCTCCCCACCCCGCAATTCGTTGTTCCAGCTGCGTCTTGCATCTCAGGTGAGGCATATGGATGTAAGCTGGCAAAGTGTCATGCAGATTAGCAACATCAGCATATGTACTGCAAATGGTGTGTGTGTGTGTGTGTGTGTGTGTTTTGGCAGCAAGGTTGAGAGGAAAGGGAGCAGAGGTGGACCCCAGAGAGGACTGAAAGAGAATCCCTTGGGTGTCCTTTCAATAACCTGGCTACTAGCTTTCGCTAGGTATTTCTGTTTAAGTGCTCAGTAGGTCAGCTGCTGTACTGGAAGGAACACAGAAGCTGCATGGATTGTGGCACGGGGCTTGTGCTCAGCCAGTGTGTTCAGGGTCAAGCAGTTGAACTGCAAGCCAACCTTTGAGGTAGATGCTGCATGGACCGCAGTCTAATTTTCAGTTGTTCCTTACTGATCAAGGAGCAGGTGCAGGGCTGCAGGGGTTTGGCAAGCCTGGCATTCTTGTTGAAATCACACTGGTTTGCACGGGACTGTAATGGGTTTGGACTGTTCCAAAGACCTACTTCCTACAGGGAAGTTTTTACTGGGAAATGGCGCCTTGTTGGAAATAAAGGTGTGGATCTACCTTTTTTAGGTTTCCTGAAACACAGCCTTATGAAAATGGGTCTATGAAAATGGCTGAATGAGTATACAATTCATAAACACAGCAGGATTTTCCCCTTAAAAGAGAGCCAGTGTGGTGTAGTGGTTAAGAGCGGTGGACTCATAATCTGGTGAACTGGGTTCGCATCTCCAGTCCTCCACATGCAGCTGCTGGGTGACCTTGGGCTAGTCACACTTCTCTGAAGTCTCTCAGCCCCACTCACCTCACAGAGTGTTTGTTGTGGGAGAGGAAGGGAAAAAGGAGATTGTTAGCCACTTTGAGACTCCTTAAGGGGAGTGAAAGGTGGGATATCAAGTCCAAATATGAATCAGGTGTACGGAAGCTCTGGGCCCTCCAGATTTTGCTGAACTACAACTCCCATAATCTCCTGCCTTTGGCTAGGGCTGATGGGAGTTGTAGTTCAGAATCATTGGGAACGCCAAAGGCGTTATATCCCCCACCCGATATAAATATGACCAGCCTCTATTGAAAAATCAAATATGTTACTTCTTAGGAGTAAAGTTTAGCTCTAAAATGAGTGTTTTGTACCCACTATTAGGCACCCATTCAAAACTGCTGTTTGTTGTGGCATGGCTAATAGCTAGACTGTGTTGCTTTGTCGGGATTTTACAGACTGGGTGGTGGTGCATTGCTTCTCCTAACCTTATTTGATATGCTGCTGCTAATAGAAAATTCTAGCTACAGCGAGTTACTCTAGCACTTGAGTTATAACGCAGCCTTGTTGCTTCCCGCCAACGAAGGTGATGCACTTCCTGTTCTTGGAAAATGAAAGCATACTGTACTCATGTTTACTGGCCCAATAAAAAGGTTGCGCCTCTGGTGCTCTGTGTTTTAATTATTATAAATATACAAAAAATTAAAAACATATATAAAGGTGAAAAGGTAAAGGACCCCTGGACGGTTAAGTCCAGTCGAATTCAGCTATGGGGTGCAGCGCTCACCTCCACTTTGAGGCCAAAGGAGTTGGCATATTTAGGACAAATACAGTTTGTTACATCCCATATAATGAAATAACCCATATATTCCTTTTCTCATAACTATGTATATTTGTGAGTTGCAGAAAGACACCCACATCAAAACCCATAATTGGTGTTTTATTTGCTAAGTCTGAGCTCAAGCATGCATAGAAGATTCACAGTCATACATTATTTCTAGAGTGTTCAACACGTACCAGGTGCTTTGCAAATTCTGCCTTTTTACAGTGCAGCTGTAAGCAGAGAGTTTTCCATCCCGTTTGACGATGGTCTGGTATACAAAATCAGAAAAGTTTTCTATTGTCCAACCCTGATATATATATATATATTGTATTTATTTCTGCAGGTGTTTTTCAAGATCTGATCACCTTGCCCTCCACATGAAGAGGCACATCTAAATAATAGATCTCTCAGCATGGCCCAGATGCAGACAGACCTGAGCATCCTGGGGCGAGGGGAGCTGCCTGTCTCTTGCGGCCTTTCAGAGGAAGAGAACTTGATCACCTGTACGCAAACCACGCACTAAATGCCGTCATGCACCCAGCTATACTTAATTACATATGTGTCTTCTCTACACCTTGCCCAACTGGAAGGCAGATGACACCTGAGGAGGAGGAGGAGGAGGAGGAGGAGGAAAGGGGTGCGAGAAGATGTCAGCAAGACACGGATGGTGCTTACAGCACTTCAGGACCGTAGGATTTTTGTTCCCCGTTTATTGCCAATGGAAATGAAAGCAAATGGGAGAGGATTCCCTGCCGCAGTAAGAGAAGGAAATGTAACTTGCTTCTCGATGCAACTTGGATGATAGGGGATGGGGAACATGACTTTTGGAGTTGCATATTTGTAGCACTAACTTTTCTTTTTAAATGGATTTTGGAGGGGAAACTAATGACCTAGAAAAACCAAATCCCAGTTTGGTAGCCAAAACGTTAATGTCTTGGTTCCTTTCTGTTTTTGTTTTCGAGACTCCCTTATGTACAACGATGCATCCAGGCTCCTCACAGACACTTTGACCTGCTCTGATTATGGTTCTTCTTTATAGAACTGAGCTGTCAAGATCCCTTCAAGTCAATACCAATGGCCTTAATTGGCAGTAGACTGTGCGGTGATACCTGGGACACGCCTACTTTTTTCGCTTGAGATGGTATAGACTTCGTCAAGGATATTTTCTTTTGTTTTGGCTTTGCTTTTCGTTCCTTAAATTTTGATATTTTGTTATTGCACATCATGTGCACTAGGGGACTGTGAAAACTACTGATGTTACTTCACAGTGGTTGGCCAGCAATGTCCCTGAGCAGCACCACAGTATATCTTTGGAGCCTTCACCACATTGCCATAGTTCGGACTTTCTATTTAATTGCCTAATGAAAACTTGAACAACAGCTTCTCTGGAAGCTTTGAACCTTTTTCTCCATGTTCATCAGAACTCATTTACTCACCTGGATATCTGTCTTGGATTCTGTCACTCAGGCATGACTTCAGATTTTCCTTCTGCACCGTGGGGAGCACGCTTGCTGCGACCCACGACGATTGGTTAGCAGCTCAGGCCGCTTTTGACCCTTTGACCCGGTCAAAAGCCTGGTTACTGATTTGTGTGTCTGGCACCTGCAAAAAGATATATTTTGGGTTGAGCAGATTTGTAGAAATACGATGATCATCATGAATGGAAAAGTGAGAACCTCTTCTAGTTAAAATAACCCCACGCAGCATTTTTGCTCTGAAGATGAAACCTACTTAAGGTTCTCCTTTCCCATTTATCAAGGTGACGCGACTTCCCCACTCTTCTGACATGATAAGGTTAAATGAAAGGGATTGGCTTTTTGGTGAGCACTGACTTCCTACCAAATGACAAGTTTAAGCAAAAATAACAAATAGAAAACACATGGGTCCACACTGGCCAATGGTTGAACCATTTAGTGATCAATGGAGGTATCAGGCTCACCTTTTGAATCTTGTAGATAATTTGATGGTTGTGACTCAAAGTGGATTTAATTTCCCTGTACTTTACACACACACACACCTACACACCCTATTCTATATATACATGATGTCTACTTCTAGTTAGTTGGAGCTGGCACTGATTCCAAAGACTGCCTTTTCAAACTATCTCTCATGCAGGTGGAGAGTTAGTCATTGGGAATGGTTGTGTATAGTTAATAATGCAGGACCACTTGTGCAAGATGTGCCGAGAAATGAAATGGGCATGTTGATTCTCCCTTGGTTGCTGCTCTTCCACTCTCTAAACTAGCTCACTGCCCACCCTTTTGACTGTTTTTTTGACTTGCCGACTGTTCAGTAATTTCCTAATTTATGTTTAGGATGCAAAAACTTTAAAAGTTCTTTTTTTATATACGGAATATCTAAAATTGTATAATGTAAGTACAGACACAGGGATTCTTAGCACTTGGCCTCTTCTTGGCTTTCTTTCCATCTTTGATTTCGTCAAACTTAACTGAGTTTTCAAATAATACTCTCTTTGCATCGGAGTTCTTTCAGACGCTGTGGCTGTCAGTGCAGATACAAGGCCCAGCCCTTTAACAGTGGGATGTGAAAAGGACCAAAATCTAACCATCTGTGTGAGGGCAAAGAACGAGAGCATTTAAGGATGAGGGAGGAGAGATCTAAGTTTTATTCCAAAGATTTATGGTTAGCTATGATTTAGAAAATATTGGAGCACTGCTTGCTGACAATCTTGTAGTTCTCTGTATCTGTGTTCACATATTTTCTATTCCACCCAGGGGTTGAGTGGGCATTTGAGAGCCTTGTAGCTCGTTATTTGAATATTGTAAGGCAGTTTTAGACTATCAGCTGAGGTGGATGTCGGAACATCCAGGCAGTGTGTTAGCTGAAAAATCTATACTGTCCAAGAAATTATTCTTGTAGCATCCTACATAATCTGCACACATATCTGTCATCACAGTAATCATTGGGTACCAATATCCATGAATGTCGTCAGCTGAAATGTTGTTAAATCCTATTGCCTCTAGAATTCTTAGAGATCATCTATAAGACTTGGTGACAAATTTAATATAAGCCTGTATTTTAAATAATTCAATGTGGGTGGGAGTGGGGGGGGAATATGGGTATGGAAAAGAACAATGTTGATTTACTTCCCCAGTGTCATTTCTGGTCTCGCTTAACATCTCTGCTTCAGAATGTGCAATCTTCAGTGCCCGCCCTTTTGCAGCAGATCAGAAGCCTAAACTGGTCCCCTGTCTAATGGCTTCACAAAGTTAGTGGTCTGAGAAAGCACAGGCATTGGAAAGTATGACCTCCTTGGAATAAATAAGATGTGCTTCCGAGTAAATATGTAAAGCCAGCCCAAGTGTTGAGCAACTGTTAATTGGCAGACTGCACCCGACATGGACCCATGGCATCAGTGGCTCAAACACTACTGCTGGCCAGTCAGAAGCTGAGCCCCATGCTGCCACCATCACTTTCCGGCCACCACCGCCACGGAGGCTACCTGGTTGCTCCCTTGGTCATCACTTGGGTGCTGCAACCTCTGGCTTTTCCACCTGTGAACCATGCCTGATGGATGTGCCATCACAACAGTTCGCCATTCTTTTGAGGGGTTTCCTTTTTCCATATTACAAATCCTGAAGAAATTGAAATGGAGCCTTTGTAAATAGTTCGAGAACTTGATTTCGGCACTTGCCCCATTTCACCTTCACTTCGCTGTCCTGTAGAAGTTGGGATTTATTTTTTTCTTTAAGGAGAGGGCTTTCTTGCTTCATTGGCAATGGTGGACGTCTTTGGCCCTGGGGCTGCTCTTTGTGCGGTGCTCTCAGTACGAGAGGGAGCTGGGCATCACCTGGTCTCCTAATCCAGCACAAGTAGGCATGGGAGGCAAAAACGCAGGAAGGGCGAGGACTCGTGGCATTCCAGTTGGCCATCAATATTTCAGAGCACTGCCTGAATCACACTGGTAGAGAGGGGCACACAGTTAAGGAGCAGCAAGGCAGGAGAAGGGGCAAATGTTCTCGTTGCTTCTGCCTCTCAATTCTCAGTGCGCCAGTATGCAAGACCGCTGGTCTCTGGTGGATCCCATGTTAAAATTTGACTTGAAAGACAACTCTCTATTTTCCCTCCCAACCTATACTGGGCACAGTGAGGTTCCTTGTATGGTATTTTTTCTGAATGGTGATAAAGTGGCCCTAAGCTTATTATCTCCTCTTGTTGTATTTATGGTTGTCTTTTTTATACAGTATATATAATGCCTTCATTTGAAGTGGCAAGATTTGGCCTGAAACACCTTTTGCCACTCAGAATCTGGCATTCTCTCTCTTTATTTTCTTTTTTCGGGGAGAAGAGCAATTTCATCCCTCCCCTCCCCCCCCCAAAAAAAATAGGATGGAAGGAGGAACATATCAAGAATGTATTTATTACCTGTTCTGATTGCAAATGCGGGCGGTAGTGTTGTGTTTTCTTTCTTTGAAATGCTTATACGTGACATTTTCGGATTCAGAAATGTAAGATTGGCCTCGTTTTGTTTTTTCATTAAAATACATTGACCGCCAGATCGCCCAAGCTGGTGAAACCCCAAGTGAATTAAGGATCAGCATGCTATCCATTTTGCATTTGCAGGCCCCGATCTCTGAAATTCCCCAAAGCTTCCCCACAAGCCAGCTGTCCTGCCATAGAGATGACAGGCAATTGTGGGTGGGGGGGGTGTCCCATGCATTGATTTAGCGCAGGGGGAGCTTCATGAATGTAGCAATGGGTGTCCATCCTGCTGCTGCATAGCTTTGATTTCGAATTGGGGCCAAAATTGTGCATTTAACTACCTTTGCTACACACAGGTGCCCCCAACAGCTTTCCTTCCATGCAACAGAAGTGAGTCACAATATTGGATTTGACTTGCCTGCTCTTTACGATCTGTTGCCTCCTAAGCTAGAGCAACATGGCTTTTGAGATTTCAGCAGCCTGATAGGCTCAGTTGATCTCCCGGAACAATTTCCTGGCCTGGGATATTTTTATTTTAAGAATAATGTTAGAAGGCACCAAGCCAGAAACCAGAAGGTGTGTGTGTGTTCCCCCAGCATTTCTCTCTTAAACAACGGCTTTGCACATCACCTTTCGCAATCATATAAACCCACCGGAGTCCCTGGGGTGTGCGTCTGTGCGTTTGTATATACTTATATCTATATATAATTTCTTTTTTGCGTGTGTCATTCATTTGAAAAGAAGAAGAAGAGAAGCAATGCCCACATAACAGCCAACAACACTTGAAGGACTTTCATTTTGCACTACAGCACAGCTTCCCTAGCGCCAGATGCTTTTGCCAGGTGCATTTGGAGAACCCTTCCGTCTCGTTCTCTCAGGCCTTCTCTGGTATTTCTAGTATATCGCGGAAGTACCCAATCCTGTAGCCCTCGGTTCTGCCTTTTTTCGGTTGACATTTTATTTTTTTTTAAGCTTTTTTATATATAAATATATATATATGAATATATTACTTTGTCAATTTTTTTGGCTGTACAAAAGTCTTAAGATTTAAAAAAAAATATTATTTGTATTATATGATGGTGGTATGTTAATGTTCCAAGATTATTAATGAAGAAGATTTATTTTTGTTACTGGTCTGTTTCATAATTCTTTTTTAAATTGGTATATTGTAAGATATCTATGCAAAAAAAAAAAAAAAGTTATGTGACGCATTTTTATTTAAGAATGTAATATGTGTAATAAAAAGTAGAATGTGTTTGGCCTGAAAATGGCTCAAGGTGTGCTGGAAATCTCCTTTGGGGACATAAAGAAAATTGATGGAAATAGAAATATAGGATGCTGTACTAGAGTGATGCTGTACAGTTTTCTGGGTAGCATCTTGGTGGTAGCTTTGAACCAGAAGAAACTCTTATACACAGGATTAAGTGTTTGAATTTCACCATTTCACTACCATTTAATGGCAGCTCGCCGAGCCCCAAATGCCTATTAGTATAGGTGATCCCCCAAATCTCAACTGCAGCTCTCATGAGAGTACAGTGGTACCTCGGGTTACATATGCTTCAGGTGACATACACTTCAGGTTACAGACTCCGCTAACCCAGAAATAGTGCTTCAGGTTAAGAACTTTGCTTCAGGATAAGAACAGAAATTGTGCTCTGGCGGCGCGGCGGCAGCAGCAGGAGGCCCCATTAGCTAAAGTGGTGCTTTAGGTTAAGCACAGTTTCAGGTTAAGAATGGACCTCCAGAACAAATTAAGTACTTAACCCGAGGTACCACTGTATGGGGAACAGGAGATGCTTGGGATGCAAAGAGTAGACCAATGGAGAAGCCAGGCACCCTACTATGAACTTTCTGCTAGTGTGAAGCCCAACTGATTGGAAACTTTCTACATGCATAGTGGCCAATCCAGAAATTCTCTATAGTGTGAGGTCCTGTCCACACATAGTATTTACACGCAGGGTTTCGTGTGGAGTTTTCATTAAAAGCCAACAAACTCGGATTAATACAGAAATGAGTTGGAAACGAACTCGTGAAGGAACTCATGATATGTACCCAGGAGTATATGAATTTGGCCGTCCCTAATTCAGCCGTCCTTGGGCAGCTCAGTAGTCCCACTTTGCTTCCCCAAGAATTTTTGGGTGGCTTGTTTGAGGAAGAACACCCCACTTTGCTTCAGATTTCACTCTTAATTGAAATACCATGACAATCTAGGAATGTACAATACCTGCCCTAACAATTTTTCAGTCGCCTTCTCCAAACCCTTTCGTCTTACCTCAAAAATTGTCAGATGTTTTGCCCGAGCAGCAACCCTCCTCACATTTGCTTCGGAGGCTGATTCAGAATTTCAGAGGCAGCCCTCCTTATTCATTTTTAAATAAAACTCCTTGAGGGTTTTATTAGAGGGCCGGATCCCTGCCACCCTTTTATTCCTTAGTACAAGAAAAAGTTGCACTTTTTCTAAAGGTGGGCAGTTGCTGCCCTATATTCAGGGTTGTGTCAGTTCAGACCACAAGTGGAAGCTTCTGGAAGATTAAAAGCACTGACTTGCTCCTCCTTTCCTAATAGTAGAGCCAGCCCTTTTTGTGGCGGTCTCTACTATGCCTCAGAAAGCAAATTTTCAGTGCAGCAAATTATCTCACCTACATATTTATTTATTGCTGCATTTTTTCACTGCAAAGGAGAGGGAACGTTTGTGAGATATTCTGCCTCAAGAGACACAATAGCATGACCAGGCTTTGATATTATGAATCTATTTGCTGCTCTGCCTCAGGGAGCAAAATGGTGGCATGACAGCAGCAACAAGGCAAGAGACCACACATAGCCTCTTTATCCTTAGGGTAAAAGCTTTAGCTCAGCGGTAGAGCACTTGCTTTGGGTGCAGAAGGTCCCTGGTTCAGTAACTGCTAGTTGCCAGGATGACCGTGGTCCTAACTGCCATTTATGTACATGTCCCATAACATAAGCTGTATTTACACAGCCTCTGGCTAGGTCCTGGGACATGGGTGGTGCTGTGGGTTAAACCACAGAGCCTAGGACTTGCCAATCAGAAGGTCGGCGGTTCGAATCCCCGCCACGGGTGAGCTCCCGTTGCTCGGTCCCTGCTCCTGCCAACCTAGCAGTTGGAAAGCACGTCAAAGTGCAAGTAGATAAATAGGTACCGCTCCGGCGGGAAGGTAAACGGCATTTCCGTGCGCTGCTCTGGTTCCCCAGAAGTGGCTTAGTCATGCTGGCCACATGACCTGGAAGCTGTACGCCGGCTCCCTCGGCCAATGAAGCGAGACAAGCGCCGCAACCCCAGAGTCGTCCGCGACTGGACTTAATGGTCAGGGGCCCCTTTACCTTTACTAGCTAGGTCCCACTGCTAGTGTTCAAAGCAGGTGTAAGCTACATTGCATATCTATCCTATTTTAGCAATACTTCTCTTTGACGCTTTCCCCCTCAAACTAGCTTTCATCTGATCTGAAAACTTAAGCTGCAGTTAAGCAGAGGTGTGTATGTTTCAGACATCATCATCATTTATTACTTATACCCCGCACATCTGGCCGGGCCTCCCCAGCCACTCTGGGCAGCTCCCAACAGAATATTAAAAATTCAATAAAACAGACATTAAAAACTTCCCTGAACATGTCTGCCTTCAGATGTCTTCTAAAAGTCAGATAGTAGTTTATTTCCTTGACATCTGACATCACATGCACAGGTGACCAGGGCTTTTTCCCAGTCGGAACTCAGTCCCAGCACCTCTCAGGTGGCTGCCATTGCCATCATAAGGTAAGGTTTTAAAAAAAAGTAAAGGACCCCTGGACAGTTAAGTCCAGTCAAAGGCGACTATGGGGTGCGGCGCCCATCTCGCTTAGAACAAGGGAAGCATTCATGGTGAGTTCGGGCACCTCTTTTTCTTGAAAAACAGCACTGCAGATGACACTGAACAGGAATTTGATGTGAGGAAACAAGACCACTGGGTGAAGATATTCCCATTCCCTCTCTGGTGCATACAGAAACATTTTTAAAAGGGATTTAAAAGATAGCGGTCGGTTCTGTGAGAAATGACCTCGCTCCCTTGTAAGCTGCTAATGCGCACCCTAAAAACAGGAAGCAGCCACAGGGAGAAAACAGGTCGTTGGTTCGGAAAAGATGGCGGCCCCAGGGCAGCTGATTAGAGGGGAAAGCTCACTCATTCTATTAGTTTGACTAACACCGATTTAAACCTCAAAAAAGGTCAAGTGCAATATACCACGTATGGAGAAAGAGATCTACAGTTCCCACAATTCTTTGGGGTAAGTCATGTCCTTTAAAGGCATGGGGTGGAAGTATTTTTGCTGAGTTTTCCACTGCACTTTTAAAAGTTGGGATGAGCCTGGAAGAGGGAGACTGAGATTGCAATAGGGGTGGTTGAGGTCACCAGGTGATGAGGAGAACAAAACCACACCTTTTAACAGTCTGCGCAAAACCCAAAGGTTCTCCCCTGCCCCATTTAACAGGTAGTCTAACTGGAAAGAAAATGACAGTTTAGTTCAAGAACTCCTAGGATGCGATAAGACCATTCTTATCTCTTCTTCTCCTTACCGTCCACCACTATTACATTCACTTTGCCTTATCATGCATTTTTCTTTTATTCCTGTTCGTAAAACAACTGGAGATAATTGAATTTTCAGCAGGGGGCGTAGAAATCTGCGAGGATCGAAATAATCTCACTTGTCATTTTCTCAGCAAAGCTAAGTGTTGCTTCTCCTGGGTGGAGATGTTGACAACTTCTACACTCCGTGTTATGAAGGAGGTTGGGGTTTTTTTCTCTGTCTCTCTCCCTTTCCCCAGCAGAAGCCTAATTTCCTGCAATTCTTGGAGAGCCCAGGCAGGAAGAGAGGTCAGGAAACTCACTGCCCACAGCTCAGG